AAAAGCGAGTTATTTTAACTTATTTTAATTTTTGGAAACCGGAAAATTTATTTATTTTATTTTATATTTTTTTAAGTGGTCCGAAAAAAAAAATTTATTTATTTTGAAAATTCTGAAATTATTTTTAAAGGGGGCATCCGAAATTTTTTTTATGGGTGTCCGATTTTTTTTTTATTTGGTCGAATATTTTAGGCTTTCCTGGAAATTATTTTCGGAAATTAATTTTAAAAATAAGGAGTCAAAAATATTTTTAGTTTGTTCATTTTGCAGAAAAGCAAGGATTGAGGTAAATATTATGTGTTAAAAGCTTTTGAAAGCATGTTGGTGAGCTTGGGTAGGAAAGAATTTGGGCATTTAAGTTAGAAATAATTATGTTCTTGTATGCATACAATTTTAGGTTGTGATGTTTGATCAGGTGGAATGATTAATTGAAAGCATGTAATTATATGATTAGAATAAGTGAAATTGTTTGAATGAACATTGAACCTAATTCATGCAAGAACTGTATTGTTTTTATTTTCTTTAGGAAGGGAATTCTTTTCTAAGCCTTTTCCTTTACAGGATGCCAATTCTTCCTAACAAACTTTCCCAAATTGGTACTCTAATCAAGAAAGACTATGAGGATCCGTTTGACTATGTCAGCAAAATCCAATTCTATTGCGTCCATATGAGCAATGTCTTAGGAGACAAGCAATATGACCTTCCTGATCGTGTTTTTGCTATGATTATTCATTGTCTTCCAGATAAACCTCCATATCTTGCTATTAAATCAAAGTTCTCTAATTTTTATTTACCAGGGCACATTCCAAACTACTCTAAATATAAAAATTTCTATGGACAGTGGTACCCTGATTACAGATACTTGATCTCTTATCATGTTAAAGTTGAGAAAGATCATTGTCAGCACTTAAATATTCCATATCCCAACTACTATTATAATATTCCAGCAGGGAATAATTCCCCTTCCACTAGTCATCAGTCATGCAGTTCTTCTCCCACTTAGGGTAACCACACAGGGACAGATGGAGGGCAGGAAGGAGGAGAGATGATGGATGAGAGTAACCAGACTGTTGATAGTTCTATTATGGAGATTCCAAATCAAAATCCTCCTCCAACTCCAATTATAATTGATATTTCATCTGATGATGAGGAAGATGAAGAGTTTGTCAAAGTAGAGCAAGAACCATAGTCACCTGAACCAATGGAGGAAGAGGATGACCCTAAATTCGATCCTGGAAGCTACAAACAATCTGCCTATAGGAGGGGCAATGTTCGAAAGGACTAGATTTTTGTAGTTTCAATTCTTTTAGGATTCTTATATTCGTTTCCGAATTTTTTTATTTATGTCAGTTCCAGTAAAGTAATAGGTGGTATGTCCACAGTGAGCTAGTAAACTTATGTAGTTGCATAAGTTATTTAAACTCATTTTATTTCAGTATTCCATTCATTTTCTTACTCAACAATAAAATTCCTTTATTTCCTTCTCAATTACTTCATTTTATTGGCAAATCATTCATTTCGTCATCAAATCATTTCGTATCACTACTCCAAAGAGACATTTCTCACTCAAAAATATTCCAATGATGCATTTCTAAGCTCCGGGAAATCCATGGGAATTATTTTTGTTTATTAATGTAATTCTTTATTAAATGTGTGGTTGGTTAGCAATAAATATTTGGTTGAAAAGCTACAAATTTTGGGAGTTTTAAATTCCAATTTGTTAGCTTAAAATCTAATGTGTATGCTTCAAGAGTGTTAACTAGTTAGGTGGGTGTCTAACTTGAGGGCTAGCCAAAACCATGACCCCTTTGTTTAATTCAGGCGAAGAAACATGGCAGGAGGGAGTAGAAACAACAATAACGGAGGAGACCTAAGTGAAGTTGTGAGGCAATTTGCAGTTGTTGCCCAACAGTTAGCAAGGAATTCAACTAATAATGGGGATACTCAAGGTGAGTTATTTAAGAAGGGGGCGTAGAGTAAGCCACCAACCTATCAAGGTGAACCTGATCCAATTATCCTGGAAAACTGGTTGAGGGAGTTTGAGAAACTGTTCGGGGCATTAGGTTGTCCAGAGAACTCAAAGGTGGGTTGTGCTACTTACTATCTTAGAGGTGAAGCTGACCTTTGGTGGCAGCAAACGGAAGCTACCACTAGGGCGATACCTGGATTTGACTGGACTATGTTTTAGGAGAAGATTAGGGATAAGTTTTACCCTAGCTTCTTACAGAAACAGAAAGCTGAGGAATTTACCAACCTTGTGATGGGGAAAATGACAGTCACAGAATACTACACCAAGTTTATTGAGCTGTCACGATTTGCTATGGAGTCTGTTTCTACAGAGAAATCTAAAGCCAGGAAGTTCGAGAGTGGTTTAACCACTGATTTACAGTTAAAGCTATGTGGACAAGTATTTGAAACCTTGGATGAAGTGTATGGGAGAGCTGCACATCTTTATGCGTTGGAGTTGAAGAAAAGGAAGGAGTTAGCTGAAATAGAGGAGAAAGAAAAGAGAAGAGAGGTGGGACAGAATTCTAGAAACCCACAAGGTAACCTGAACAACTTTAAGAAGCAAAAGTACCACCATAATAACAACAACAATAATTTCCAAAGTAACAATCGCCAAGGTGGTCGAAACTTTAATGGTGGAGCTAAGAACTTTGACCAAGGAAACAATAAAGATGGAAGACGCTACTTTTGCAGAAGATGCAAGAATAACCACCCTAGGAGAGATTGTGACAGTAATTTGGTTACTTGTCGTGCTTGCAACAAGCCAGGACACAGAGAGTATGAAGGTTACTCCAAGGATCCCAATTGAAACAAGCAGGGCAATGGTCAACAGGGGGCACAGAGAAACCTTCAGGGAGGAAACAATTATTCTGGGAACAAGGGGGCACAACAGAATGGAGCGAAAACCAACAATAACAATATTGGAAGCAACCAACAGAAAGGTTGAGCTACAGGGAAGTTGAATGTTATGAGTAGGCATGAGGTTGATTCCACGAAGGATGTCATCACCGGTACTTTTTCTATTAACTCTATCCCTATTAAAGTCTTGTTTGATTCTGGAGCAACTTTTTCTTTTATTTCAAAGGTCGTTATTCCAAAACTCTCAAACTGTTTGAAAGCCGTAGATGAGATAGATTTTCCTATAGTAATTCCTACGGGTGGGGTAGTAAAGTGCAATAAGATTTATAAAGATATACCTTTAGGAATCGAAGGAAAAGTGTTTCTATCAAATCTCATCGAATTTGGGTTGAGTGACTTCGATGTCATATTGGGAATGGATTGGTTGAGCAAGTACAATGCAGAGATTAGATGTCGATCACAGAAAGTGAAAATGAGTACAGCTGATAATGAGTTGGTGACATATTGGATGCATGGTGAAACAAAGAGCCCAAGGATCATATCCGTGTTGAAATTGGCAAAGTATATTAAGAAGGGGTATCTAGTGTATTTTTATAATGTGAGGAATATGGAGCATGAGGAGACAACTAAGCCTGAGGATATAAAATTAGTAAATGAGTTTCTTGATGTGTTTCCAAAAGAATTTCATGGAATGCCACCCAAGAGGGCAATTGACTTCACAATAGAGCTAGTTCCAAGAACAGCACCAATTTCCAAGGCACCGTATCGAATGGCACATGCAGAGATGGGTGAGTTGAAGGAGTAATTGCAGGATTTGTTAGAAAAAGGTTATATCAGATCAAGCGCATCACCATGGGGAGCGCCAATGTTATTTGTAAAGAAGAAAGATGGAAGTATGAGGTTATGTATTGATTATAAGGAGTTAAATAAGGTCACCATAAAGAACAAGTACCCATTACCAAGGATTGATTTAAGGTCTGGATATCATCAACTTAAAATTGCAGATGAGGATATTCCCAAGTCTGCATTTAGAACGAGGTATGCACATTATAAGTTCACAGTAATGCCATTTGGATTAACGAATGCTCCTACAATTTTTATGGACTTGATAAATAGGGTGTTTCATCCATTTATGGACAAGTTTGTGGTCGTGTTCATAAATGATATACTGGTGTACTCGAAGAGTAAACAGGAACATGTAGAACACTTAAGGGAAGTTCTGCAAACACTAAGGAAAAACAAGCTTTACGCAAAGTTCTCTAAGTGTGAGTTTTGGTTGGAGAAAGTGGCGTTTTTAGGACACTTTGTGTCCAAAGAGGGAGTAGATGTAGATCCAGCAAAGATTGAGGCGGTGAAGGGTTGGCCTACGCTAAAAACAATGTATGACGTTAGGAGTTTCTTAGGTTTAGAAGGGTATTATAGGCGTTTTGTGAAAGATTTCTTGAAGATTGCTAAACCTATGACCTCTCTAATGAAAAAGGACAAAAAGTTTGAATGGGATGATAAGTGTGAGGAAGCATTCCAACTCTTGAAACAAAAGCTAATCACAGCGTCAGTTCTTACACTACCAGACGATAGTGGAGTTTATGATGTATATAGTGACGCATCCAAGAATGGTTTGGGTTGTGTGCTTATGCAAAATGGGAAGGTGATTGCATATGCATCAAGAAAATTAAATACTCATGAGGTAAATTACCCTACTCATGACTTAGAATTAGCTGCAATTATATTTACGCTAAAGATTTGGAGACACTACTTGTATGGGGTGAAATGTAGGATTTATACAGACCATAAGAGTTTGAAATACATTTTCACTCAAAGGGATTTAAACTCACGCCAAGGAGATGGTTAGAATATACGACGGATTATGACTTAGACATACAATATCATGAAGGGAAGTAGCTGCAGATGCTCTAAGTCGTAAAACCAGTCATGGACTGAATACTTTAATAGTGGCGGATGAGTTATGTAGAGAAATGAGGAGGATGAATTTAGAGGTGGTAGAATGGGGAGTACTAGCAAGCATACTTGCGAATCTGAGTATTCAACCAACAATATTTGATGAGATAAGAGAAAATAAAAAAGAAGATGTAAAGTTGGATAGGATTCGGGAGAAAATAAATTAAGGAAAGGCCATGGATTTCAAAATTCATGAAGATGGGAGTTTAAGATACAAAGGCCGTTGGTGTGTACCACAAAAATGTGAGGAGGTGAAGGGAAAGTTGATGGAAGAGGGTCACAATACACCATACTCAGTACACCCAGGAGGGGACAAGCTATATAAGGACTTGAAAAAGGTGTATTGGTGGCCCAGAATGAAGAATGAAATTATGGAATTTGTGTCAGTGTCGAACTTGTCAGAAAGTGAAGATAGAACACAAAAGACCGTAAGGAACTGTACAATCATTGGAAATTCCTGGATGGAAATGGGATTGTATTTCAATGGACTTTGTGACTTGCCTCCCAAAGTCAAAGAGTGGAAATGACACCATTTGGGTAGTGGTGGATAGACTCACAAAATCTGCAGTGGTTTTACCAATGAAGGATACTTGGAAGATGGAACAACTTGCAAAAGCTTACATAAAAAATGTGGTGAGATTACATGGAGTTACAAAGGATATAGTGTCTGACAGAGATTCTAGGTTTCTTTCAAGGTTCTAGAAGAGTGTGCAGGAAAACTTTGGTACAACGCTTAAGATGAGTACAGCTTTTCTCCCTGCCACAGATGGGCAAACTGAGAGAACCATTCAAACCTTGGAAGATATGTTGAGAGCTTGTGTAATAGATTTCCAAGGGGGGTGGAAAGATAGCTTGGACTTAATTGAATTTTCCTATAATAATAGCTACCATGCAAGTATTGGCATGGCCCCATTTGAGGCATTATATGGAAGAAAGTGTCGCAGTCCAATATGTTGGAACGACATAAGTGAAACAATGATTCTAGGGCCTCAAATGATCGAGGATACAGTTAGGAAAGTGAGGGAGATTCAAACTAAGATCCAAGCGGCGCAGGATTGACGAAAGAGCTACGCAGACTTGAAGCGTAGAGAGGAGGAATTTGAGGTCGGTGACAAAGTATTGTTAAAGGTGTCACCAATTAAAGGTGTAATGAGATTTATAAAGAAAGGAAAACTTAGCCCAAAGTATATTGGTCCATATGAGGTATTGCAAAGGATAGGCAAAGTGGCTTATTGATTGGCCTTACCTATAGAACTAAGTAAAGTGCATGACGTATTTCATGTATCTCAGTTAAGAAGGTATATCCCTGATAAGTCACATGTGCTACAACTAGAAACTATTGAGTTAGATCAAAGCTTAACTTATAAGGAAAGACCTGTCAAGATCCTTGACAGTAAAGTGCGTAGTACACGCAATAAGGAAGTTAAGATTGTCAAAGTGTTATGGTCTAACCAAGAGTATGAGGAAGCAACTTGGGAAGCCGAGGATGAGATGAAGAAGAAATATCCTGAGTTGTTTAAGGTATGGTGAGTTACGGGGACGTAACTCGTGTTCTTTAAGGGGGTAGAAAGCGGTAGAAATTCGCGCTTTTTCCCGCATTTTCAGTTATTTTTGTGCTTTTTGCACATTTTTAATGGTTATTTTGAAAAATTTTGATTTCAAAGAGATGTTAAAGGCAAAAGTATGACAAAAACTACAGCAAAATATACAAAGTGAGGAATCAATTTTGAATTTTGTTACCCAAGTTTCGGGAAACTTCTTTTAAGAAGGGTATACTGTAATATCCCGTATTTTTATACGTATTTTAATTTAAATAAGTATTTTCTTAAAAGTATTTAAATAATTCGAAATGAATTATTTAGGGTTTTTCATTAATTTAAAAAGAATGATTTTTATTAAAAGTGTATATTAAATTATGTAATAATCATGAAAACATTTTATTGTATGATTTAAAAATATTGGGGCATTTTATTTTATAAAAAGATAAAGTTTAAAGTCAATTATATTTATGGAAGGTCAAAATACAAGTTTGACTAGGAAAAGGATCATTAAGCGTAGTAAAAGAATTTTTAAGTAGGAAGGATTGAGAGGGGGTATAAATACCCATCATATGCCTAAGGTGGAGTGCACCCAAAGGTAAACTTTCTCTCCTCTTATTTTCTTTTCTACTTAATTTTTCCCCTTCCCCTTAATTTTAATTTATGTTATTTTTTTTTAATCACCACCACACACACCGGCCGGCCACCGCCAACACTCGCCGGCAGCAGCAGCCACTAGGCGGCGGCGGCATACAGCCTTGGTGGTTGTCCGCCGGTGGTTTACAAAAAAAATAAAAAAAAAATATATGTTGTTTTTTTTATTTTAATTAAATCTACCTAAATTAAATTATTGTTTTTGGGTTTTGTGGCAATTCTATGATGTTTAATAATAAGTATTTTGTATATAAATTTTCAGATTTTGGTTTTGAATTAAAAAGCCCCAAATTGAAAACCCTAGGTTTCTAAATTAATGATTATTGATGGGATTTGATTGTAGATGATTTAAATTGTTAAAAATAGGTGTTTTAAAACTTAATTACTACAATTTAAGATGTTTTAATAATGCTGGAAGTTTTATATATAAGCCTTAATTAAGTTTCTTAAAAGAGGTTTTTAATTACCCATTAATTGGGAATAAAAGTAAGGGGTTTAAATTAAATTTCAGATTATTTTAGACGATTTATGAGTGATTTAAGAGAGTATATATTGCTGGAAATTTGTGTGAAAGAGGTATTAATACTTCTTTGTAATTTTGGTTTGTAGGAGATTTCCAAGTGAGTGATTTTATTTAATCGTGGCGATATTGAGATCATATTCAAGGTACGTTCGCGTACTTAGTAATTACTTAAGTGTATAGAAGCATGCTAGGCTTTGTTTAATTAATTCCAAGTAGTATCATGATAGGTGTTGGATGGAATGTGTTGATTGGATTGATGTTGGTGAATGATTTGTGATGTATGAATTCTCATGGTGAATTGGTGATTGGAATTAATTATATTGGCATGTTGGATATGAACCACACTTTTATTATGGGCATGTTAGGAAGCATGTTTAATTAAACTAAATGTTTAATTTAGTTGAGAATATGAAAAGGAAATTTTATTATGGTTCATATAATTTTATTGATGCTATCAGCATGAGGAAGGAGCTATTTAAGTGTCTATGTACACGAGGATTAAATTATATTTTGGTGTCTACGTGCACTTAAGGTGTTTTAAACACCGAGGGATAGGATTTGTGGCGCATTATGCGTTTAAGGTGTCTTTGACACCAAGGTAAATTTAAAAAGGGTTCAACTATAAATTTATGTGGTCTCTAATTAATAAAGAATTTAAATTGGTATGTTTGAATGCTTGAATAAATTGTAGTGTTTGATTTGTGTTGTGTTTGAGAGTCATCACAAGTCTAATAATATGTAAACAACGTAAAGTGAAAGAAATTATGCACCAAAACTCTTGGAACGTATATACCTTTAGTATGAACATATGGGGGGGAGTTATGCGAATTTATATTTGACCATAACTTCTACTGGGAGTACATTACGCTGTATTTTCCTTTTTATTATGCACAGGAATTCCGCCACTTACGAGTGGTTTATTGTATACTTTCACGTTAGCTCTCGTGTTAGTACCCCTTTATTGGGGCAGGTTAAGGGGAAACCCGTTCGATTCGTAATCAAAATCAAATGAACATTAGTATTTGTCTAGTTAGGTGATAGATGTCTTGTGTGCTTGTGAATAGGTGCAACAAGGTAAGTTGTGTGTTGATAGGATGAAAGCATGTTAGTGTGTTTTTAATACGCTTATGTACTCAGCTTTGCTGATTGTGTGTTTGCATGTTTGTTGGTCTTGTCTTTACCATGGCCCTACGACGACCCATATTTAATGGCGAGTAGTGGGGACAAGTAGAGAGAAGCTTTTCAGGTGATGAAGCGTATTCTTGAAGGGCATGAGTGAAGAGCGAATCATGCTTAGTTCGCATAGGAATGTGATGTGTTTTATTTGCTTTAAATATTATTTATTTATATTGATCATGAGACTAACGCAAAGGTTTTTAAATATTGTTGATTTAAGGGCCTACAATGGTTCCAAGTTGTAGGTTGACTTCGTCTGACTTTGTTTGACTTTTACTTTCATTTGGTTTGACTTTTTAAAGTTGACTTGATTTTTTAATAATTTTAAAGATAGTCTTCCGCTGTGTGAGTCTTTGATAATAGTCTTAGCCGCTATCATGGTGGCGGTAATGTCTTAGATATTCCTTCTTCGTATTTTAAAAGGGTAAAATTGGGTTTTAAAGGAAAGGAATTTCTTGGGTGTTACATTATGCCTAGCAATCTCTTCTACTTCAAAGGCAAAAATGTCTTTGAATTCTTTTAACAAATTGTGCAAGTCTGCACCCAAGTTTGCTAAAGCAGCCCTCCTAACCTTAACAGTTCGCTCTGGTCGTGTGTCGTCCAGAGCAATATCAATGTGTTCACCAGCTGGCTGGGGACGGAATTCATCCAACCGTTCCCCGATCAGTGTTTGCTATTGTTTTTCTTTTTTAATGGCCACCAACTGGTCGGCCTTTCTCTTTTTTCCGGCTGCTTTTAGAGCAAGCGTAGCATCCTTGATTTCATCGAGGTTTATTAGTTCATTGCCCTAGCCGGATTCGGCCGCCGTAGGCTTGACGTCCGAGAGGTAGCACTCTCTAGCTGTCTTCTGATCTCTGCTTAAGGAGCCAACAGACCCATCATCCTTCTAAAACTTAAGGTGCATAAGGGATGGGATGATAACAACTTTTGATTCATTTAGAGTGGGACGACCCAATATCAAGTTATAGGCCGTCAGCTCTTCAACGACCAAGAACCAGACTACCATGTGGTGTCCTTCTCCCCTTGCCGGATGGGTAGATCTATCCGGCCTACCGGATGTACAACTCCACCCCCAAATCCAACTAAGGGGTGAGACACCTTGTGCATGCTGCCTGGCTTGTACTTCAATTTTGCCAGACACTTGTGGCTGATGAGATCAAACGAACTGGCGGTGTCAATGAGGATTCGGCCTACCTTCTAGTTGGCCACTTTGCATTCGATGATAATGGGGTCATCATACAGCCTCCTGACCTTGCCCCTATCTTTCTCAGTGATGATAAATTCAGGGAAAGTGTCCTCGGATTCCTGCCCCTCATCAACTGAGCTGACATCCAGCAGCCTGATGTAGTCCTTGGTACCCCGGATGGTTTGGCCGCCTTCAGCAAAGCCTCTTGCTATTGTATAGATCGGTTCTTCATCAGTGTCCGAACTATTAGCAGGTTGAGGCCTCTTTTTGGACGAATGCCCATGGTTAGTTTGCAGAGTAACCTTGGACCTTAGAATATAAGACTTAAGCACTCCTTTGTGAGCCAGACGGTCCAAAAGCTGCTTGAGACTATAGCAGTCTTTGGTGTCATGGCCAATGTCCTCATGGAAATGACAATACTTGTTTTTGTTCCGATTTTTAGCGGAACCTTTCATTGCAGCCGGCTTCTCAATGGTCACCCGGTCTTTGATCTCCATGAGGATGGAGTAACAATCTTTGTTAAACTCATACTTGAGGGTGTATGGTTTAGATTCTTTCTTTTTCTTCTAGGACGGCTGCTCAGAGCTGTCGGCCGCCCAGACTTCTTTTCTCTTTTTATTCTCTTCTTTCTTAGCCGGTTGTGATGGCCGACTCTCTTTTTTGTCAAACCGCTTTGAGTCCGACTGCTTACTGATGTTGCAGAGTTCGGTCGCCTGTATATAAGCGTCCGTCTCCATCAGTGCCTCTTGGAGGGTAGAAACCCTCTTTCTGACGAGGTCGAACTTAAAGGTCTCCCCGTCTTTCAGACCTTTGAAAATTCTGTATAAGCCACTTCATCAGATAGCCCTTGAATCTGAATTCTCATCAGATTGAACCGCCTAATATATGACCGAAGCCCTTCTCTATCTCCCTGTTGAATAGCACCCAAGTCCAAACTTGTTTTCTTAGCATGGATGTTCATAGAGAAGTTAGACGCAAACAAGTACACAAGCGTCTTGAAATTCTTGATGCATCCAACTAGCAAGTTGCCGAACCATTGTTGGGCGACGCCCTTTAATGTGGCCGGGAAGTATCGGCACCATGCGGCATCATCCAGCCTTTGTAAATACATAAGGTTGGTGTAAGCCATAAGGTGATCTTCCGGATTGATGGTACCATCATAGGTACCTACCAGAACATTTTTAAACTTGGCCAGCTGTGCAGCCTCGGTTATTTCCTAGGAGAACGCAGAGGGTTGTTCCTCAAGCCTTAGCAAACGGAGCTGCCAGTCCAAAGGTTGGACATTTTGTGCCGCCTGCCCCCCCAAAGAGGGTTGGTTGCATGTATTGTTGCCTGTACGACATGTATGGCTGGTGAGGCACATACAGGGCCGAATGGATCATTTGAGGGCCAGAGTGGACGGACAGGCCGCCTGACTGACCCTCTCGGGTTGATTGCGAATACCTCATTTGAGGCATTCTTAAAGCTGTCTGGGTAAGTCGACGTTGAAGCAGACTCAGACATTTGTTGATTTTTCTTATGCTCGATTAACAGCCGGGCATTAGAATACATCTTTTTTGAACCATCCGCCTGAACATGCCGGATGGCCTTCCTCTTCTCTGTCTTAGGGAAGCGGATCTTAGAAAAGTCAATCAAGGGCTGGTTCTCCTCCTTTGATTTAGGATGGGGAGTAGGCACTCGGTCCTATACTTGTTTCTTCTTCTTTGAGTAAGAAGGTTTCTTGGCCGACTGTCCCCTGCCAGAGATAGCCGTCTGCTTGTTGATCAAGTCTTTAATTTCCACTTTGAAGCTGGTCATAAATTCCATGAGCTCATTTCTGGTAACTGGAGCTGCGCCTTCGGCCGCCTAGTTTTGTCCAGTCGGCTATACAGTTGGATCACTTGGACCAGCTTGATCATTGGCCCTTTCCTTTATTTCCAAAGGACGGGTGCGCTTGGTTCTAAGTGAACCATCTGCAGCTACATAGGTATCGATGTCAAAGTCGTCACCGTTGTCCTAGTCTAAGTAAACCTGGACTTCGGCCGAGGGCTGCTTCTCTTAGGAGGTGGTACAGACTCATGTGAAGCCATCTCAGAAGTACACTCCCCACAGACGACGCCAAATGTTTCGGGGTTTTCTGTGTTCTCCGGGAGAATGATAATTCCAAGACTAGATTCTAGGCGCCTGTACTTACAAAACAAAGGAGACACCAGTTGGTGGGAGATCCGCCTCCGACGATCAAGTTAGAACGCGTTCGGATGTAAAAAGCGCGGAATGTAAATGGGATCAGGTTCCTCTTAGGAGAGGAATGATCATCCAGCTATAGCAAACAACCTCAATATCCGAGTGTAAACTCTCAAGTGTGTTTAATTCTGCAATTAATGCTCTCACTGAATGTTTGTGAATGTCGTTCCCCATGTGGGAACATCTCCCTTTTATAGGGTCTCGAAGTATGTGCCCAGTCTTAGGTTACGGAAACCTAGGACTGATTGGGCTTCCTAGGAGTTTGGGCCTTGAAGGCAGCCATTCCTAGTTAGATATCTGTCTGCCACGTGTCATGCCCTGATTGGTCCACTTTGGACTCTTCACTAAATGACACGTGGCGGACTCTGGTTGGTCCACGTGGATGACACGTGGAGGGTCTTGATTGGTCCACGTGGCGGGGTAAAAATCCCCTAATCACCTATTATTGCCATAAACATTGCCTTAAGTTTAAACCTTTTAGACTTTAGGCACATGTAAGGGTCCCCTTCATTTACATGTCAACAAATATTGGATTTTCATTTGGTGGTGCAGGTTTGATGTGAGCTAATGCCCATTTGAGTCTTTTTACCTTGTGGTTTGCTATCAATGCAGGATGTGTTGTGCTTGTAAGTGTTCTGATTCTGCCTCTTTTCCTTAAGTTATGAATTGTTATCTGTGAAACATTGAGAGCACTTGCATAGCTTCTCTTGTATAAGGGAACATATTGTAACCATTCATTAGAGATCTCCATGGGTTTTCTCCCAAACTTTTCCAAAAATTTTTGACCTGACATTAACGACATTCCCCTCTGCCAATTGTGTTGATATATTCTTGAATAATCTTGTTATTATTGACCTGTGCAAGTCAAATCTTCTTCCAAGTTCTGCCATGAAACCTCTTGGTACAATCCCACCTTGCATTTTCATGAGAATAGCATCACAAATCTCTCTTTTCCTTTGCAAAGTTAACTGCTTTCTGATCTTAGCTTAGTGTTGGCAGTTTGTTGATGCATGTTGCCTTCTCCTTCCACAGTAAGTGAAAAAAATCATCATTACTGTCTTCATCATCCTTTGTAGTACCTTTAGTGTTGTTTTCTTCCATTAATAATTGTTCAAGCTCATAAAGTCTTCGTTAAATATTTCTGCCATGCTAACTTTGGTTTTTTTTTTTTATTTGCAGAGGGACTGATGCAGTGGTGGCTGTCATTTTTTGTGGCTATGTGCCGGAGGAGCTGCTCTTGTGGATAGGAACAACGCAACAAGCTAATGATGATGATGTCTGCTTAGCATTAACTGGGTTTAGGGAGTAGTTTTATATATATATATATATATATATGGACTTAAATGGATTAATTTAGTGCTTAGTTTTGTAGGATTGGTACATTTCTGTAATTAAAGTTCATGATGAAAGTTGTGAACAGTTTAGGATGTAATCTTTTGAACAAAACTTTGAATGGTTGGGGCTTATATTTATAAGCCTCTAGTTATGTGAATACGCCCTCATGAACGGAAAAATTTTTAAGTGAATTCCAAATTTTAAAATTTGGTTAGAAAATGTTGGTGGGAAAAATGAATCCCCGCCAAAATAAGTGGGCCTCCCCTCATTTCCCACTATTTTCCTCAAAATATTGGTCCCCACTTTCTCTCTCCAACTCTCAAATCACATGGCCTTACGTTTCCTAATCAACCATTAAAAATTGGAAATATTGTCATGATTAATCCCAACTTTGTCTCATCTGCAAATATTAATCCCAACTTTGGATTTTTTTTATTAATCCAAACTTATAATCCTTCCGCTCATAACACTCTCAAGTGACCGGTGACCTGTTGAGCAGGTATTTTTTATATAAGTTTAATATACACATGTCGGGATGTGATTTGGAAAAAAAAAATCAAAAATAATAATAAAAAAAAGGAAAGGAAAAGAGAAAACCAAAACCACCTTCACCCGTACCGCACAGCCACCTCCCCCTCCCCCTAATTGTGGCAACCCATTGGCGACATCTCTCGGCGACGGCAGTATCCTCCTTCTCCGACCGACATGATCCCAACCCTTCCTTCCCCAGCCGTCACGATCCCAACCCTTCCTTCCCCGGCCGTCACAATCCCCCAGCCTTCCCTAAACCCTAACCCCGCTGCTTCCCCTTCTTCCTCCCCCCCACCGTTGCTTCCCCTACTTCCTCCCCCTCCCCCACCGTCGCGATCCATATGCACCTCCCAAAATGATAAAATGTGTAAAAAGAACCACAAACTCAGCATAGGGGAAAATCATAATCAATTATTTTCCTAGAGAACTACTATATTTGAGGGGAGAAGGTTTAAAATCAAGCCCCCATATATATACTGATGAAGGAAATATCCGTCGATCAAGTGTAATTACTAGTTGTAATTAGGACAAATATGGAGATTAATTATAATCGGTTATTTTAGGTAATCATAATGTTTTGCTAGAAACCAACTATGATTTGTGAACTAATGCGATTAGTTTACTACTAATAATAATCCGGTCCTATGAGGTCAAACATATGAGTATATGGTTGAATTAAGATGCATGAATAGGCCTTAAAGCCTAAGAGATGCGATTATGCGAAGAGTTGCGATAGTTTATTATAAATATGACTAAGTGACATAAATGAAATAACACATATTTTCATTAATCACAAAACCTCTCTCATAAAACCTCCAGTAAAAGCAATAAGGAATTGTTCCTTATTCCGTACTAGCATACGTGGAGATTAAATCATTGCTCGTGGACCAATATTAGAGGAAGGACAATTGACGTTCTAAAGATCTCTAATTGAAGAAAGAAGTGCCCTCTTACTTTGTGGAAATCACGCATCGAGGGTATGATATACTACTTTATGTGATTCGTATTATTTATATACATGAGATCCTGCTTACGTGCTAAGAAATTGTTTCTTGAAATTCCGCTAAGTGCATCTAATATATTCCTACAGCTGAAACTCTACGTTTTTACATATTTGTGTCATCTTTGATGACAACAAGGTGGTCTCCATCTGTAATTACCTCAATACAATCAATTTCAGCACCTTTATCAGTTTCAACTCTCAAAGGGAAAAAAACCGAACTTTTGAGCTATCACATTCAATAACTCCTCAAAGCTATTTGGTAATAAAACAACCACCTTCCTAAGTTTTCCTTCTTGGTCACAACTATGGTCACTCTAGGAGCGACATGGTTCCCCTGATGAACGTCGCCCAATCTACCAAAATATTCATGACCTATGGCAGGAAACAGATCACTCTGTCTGCTTTGAGCAGCTGACATGACCCCAAATATTGAGTTACGGAAGTTATTAGCATCCCTGATCCTACTGAAGCTGATCCATCTTTGGACAAGTTATGGTGTTCTTGTGTCAAATTTGGTGCACTAGTATACCTCCCTAGGAAATGCACTTTGTTTCTAAGCTCGTCAGGAACTTGGAACACTACTTGAGGCTTGGATCCTACCTTGGCTTGGAATAGGGCAGATATTTGCTCATGACACTGCTGTTCAGCAAGGGCTCTTGGAGTCCACTGATGTCTGGCAAGGCAATGTGCGCCCTTGATCAAGCAGATACTTGACGATCTTGATGTTTCCTTCGCTGACTGCCACGTGCAGGGCCGTCCTTCCTATGAACTCTGAAGCAGATATCTCACTTTTAGGAAGGCAGTAGAAGTAACTAGTGGGAATGTTACATCACCACCATAGCTGACAATTTTTTTGAGGAGGTCGAGGTTGTTTTGCACGGTAGCTATACAACCATACTGACCAACGTCGCCAGCACAAATGTAAGCACCATGAATTATTAGAAGTTTCACCACTGCCTCATGACCACCCTGCATTGCATTCCATAATGGTATGTTCCCATCTTGATCTGTGCTCAAACAGAAAGTAAACATTTCAAAAAATATCAGACATGTCGATTACTCGTATTCTGTAATTAGAATTTCAGAGCTAATGATATGTACCTTTGCAATCAGGATCAGCACCATAATCTAGCAGAAGATACACACATTTTTCACTTCCATCCGATGCTGCAATGTGCCGCAGTTCTGAGGCCAGAAAAATAAAAACAAAAGTAATTAGAAATGATAAATACATGAATACTATTACTATCATGTAAGTCTCGAAATAAGGAAAAACATACAAGACCTGTCCTTCCACATTCTTCTGTTTCATTGAGATCACATCCTTGTTTCAGCAACCGATGCATCAAATGACCATCCCCTCTTGCAGCAGCAAATCATAGGCTAATCGGTAAATCAAGCCTACCATGACCCATCATCTTCTCTATCTCCGCCATACTTTCCTTTGCGGTGTTGTCATTCTTGTGCTCCTGCTCTTTCAGATGCTGCCCTAGAAAAAAAAGAATTCACACACACACAAATAATTACAGGATATTTTAATCCACGGTCTTACCAGCATGTTCTTGAGAATCAAACATAACATTCTCTGATAAAGACTGATTTATTAAGCAGAATACCTGTAGGAGATTATTCATAAGTATGTTCCCATCTCCTACGTCGGACCGCACAATGTTCAAGAAATTTGTACGATTTATACGTAACAACTGGCAGAGCCGCCTGGTTATCACTGACTCACTGCACACAGTTGAGGCCTATAACAAAGTACAGCAACTTCACCACATATATCACCCTTGTTCAACTCTCCAATAACCCGGAATGTGCAAATAAACAAAAAGAAGATACATACTGTTAAAAAAAATCCTCATGCATGTCTAATTAGAAGTGTTAGGCATACATGAAGTATCAAATTGTAATAACTTGCCTGATTTACTCCATTATTGGGCCGGATAAGCTCCTGAAATTGTATAAAATAAATATCATTAGATCAGGCAAACTACAACAATTTTTGTATGAAAACTTTATCTGTGAAAAGGCTTTAACTCTATTGTCAAAAAAAAAAAAAAAAAAAGGCTTTAACTCTCCTCCAATAACCTGGATTGCACAAATAAACAATAAGATAACACATACTGTAAGAGAAATCCTCATTCATGTCTAATTTGAAGTTTAAGGCACACAGGAAGTATCAAAGTGTAATTTACTTGCCTGATTTACTCCATTATTGCGCCGGATAAGCTCCTGAAATTCTGCAGGAATTTTATTTGGGATGGGAAAGCTATATTCAACAGATCCCCCCATTTCCTGAAGAAGCAAGGTGGTCTTGGCATTCAAGACTGTATCAAGTGGAATGTAGCTGCTATGGGCAAGTACATCTGGGATATAGCAAATAAGAAGGATAGTCTCTGGCTTAGATGGGTTAATCACTACTATATTAAAGGCAGAAGTTGGAAGAGAGTGGGTTGCCCCTCTCAAGCCAGCTGGCAATGGAAGCAAATCTTGAAAGTGAATGAGCAGATTAGACAAGGATTTTCAGGCAACACTTGGAAGCATAATGTTTCTGGATATACTGTGGCTTCTGCTAACAGATGGTTACAAGATGATAATCCTGATATTGTTGGTGTAATTAGGTTTGGAATAGGTATAATATACCTAAACATCGTTTCATTCTCTGGATTGCAGCCTGGGGAAGATTGAGAACTAAGGAGAAGCTAAAGCAATTTGGGATCCGTGATGATTATAGTTGTCCTTTGTGTGGCAACTATTCGGAATCTAATCAGCACATATTCTTTGAATGTGATTACAGTCAGCAAATTTTGAGTATTTTGCAGAGCGGATTCAAGAAGAAAATGGAGTTTACGTTCATATCAGCCTGTAATGATTGGTGCTGGAAGGCTATAAATAGGTTTCAGAAACAAGTTTATCAAAGTCTATGTGTTGCAGTAGTGTACTACATCTAGCAGCAAAGAAAGAGGGCCATTTGGGATGGTAGAATTGATAGACATAGTATTGTTGTAAATAGGATTTGCTTTGATGTTTCTCATAGGATTTGTAATACTAGTTCTAGCAAGATTAAGGCTACTGAACTTAATTGGCTTTGGGGCCTTTGCCTAGGGGTTAGATACCTCAGTGTGTTTTTTTTTTTGTGATTAATTAAATTTTTGCATTTCTAAAAAAACAAAAAAGCTCTTGAAATCACATAATATAGATATCATTATATCAGGAAAACTGCAACATTTTTGCTACCTAATCTATGAATAGGCGTTAATTTGGTGCCACAAGTTTACCAATGAGTCATTAATAACTATGCAGAAGTCAGTTGGCACTTCATTTTGGAAAATGGCATCCTCCTTGGAGCGAAGTATTCCACTTTCATCTCAGACACCTTCATACAAGGAAATGAAGTTGATCAAAGAACATGATGACAATTTTTTTCATTTTATTAGAAATATATACTTCAGTTATGTGCAAGATTTAGTGAGGGTATCAGATGAAAGAGGAGGTCTTTGGACTCATCACGGAACATATACACGTTATCTACTAAAGAGTAGAAAAGATGTTCTGAAATATTTGATCTGATTGATTTAAATAAGGAATCGAGTATCTGTTGTTCATGCAGTCCCTCGGTATCTGTTCGATACTTCAAACTGTCCTAAGCTTCAATATCATGAGGTCACACATTGAATCTTCACTATCCACAACATGAATGCTTTCTAAATTGGAACCTCTCCAAACAGAGCAAGTACCATTACTCACAACTTTCAAACTTCCAGCAACCATAAGCATCTAAACCATCTGATAGAAATAAATTATGTAAAATAGATGAAAGACCGGGAAACAAATCTTGACAGTTTGTAGGGTTCAGGACATTCAGGTGACTGAACTCTTGACAGTTGAAGTATAAGCCAGCAGTTTTTCTATTGCCAATGACAAAAACAATGCTGGGTATGAGAGTTTAAAAAGACAGTACATGGCAGAAGATCAAACTCACATTTAGTCCAGATTGACAAGCTCGGGCTTATTCAATCCCTTCTGCTTGATTTTAGGCTTCTGGCATATACAATGTAGTTTACTACTTCACCAGTTCACCTTGGTTCATAAACCATAATCATTGCTTTTTTTCTCTTTATTTTTTGAAGGAAACCCACAAGGATTAATTAATATTCTGCTTCAAATCAGAGTTTAACAGATTACAAATAAAATCAGGAATTTGATCCAACCAAATCTTTCTTCCTAAAACAATAGGTGGGCATGAGCTAAGTCATGCGCCACTTTATTTCCTTCTCTTTGAATCCAACCCCAAGCACAAAAAGAGAAACGAATAGCAGAGTTGTTGCCTTTATCCTTCCTTCTGATAGCATTCACCACGTTCTCACAATCATTCTCGAATTCGACCTGAGCAGCCAGCTTCATCCCCATTAAGATGGCCTTCGCCTCTGCAAGCTTTGGCTCCAGCCTATCCGCCAGCTTGATGTTCGCACACCACAAGACACTCCCCTCATCAGTTCTCGCAACAACCCCCACAACAATTCCCAGATCACACAACAAGCCCGCATCAATGTTCACCTTAATACGCCCTGCAGCAGGAAGGCACCAGCAGCCTCGTTGCTTTGGTGCAGCGTCACCCTTCTTTTTCACAAAAGAATTTCCCATATCACTCATCAGTTGGTGCACATAGGAAGCTATCCCTCTAGGCTCATACCAATCATTCTCAAATAAACCACGGTTCCAGGCACTCCAAATCGACCAACAGAGAACCATCACCCAGCTACGATGCTCACTAACCAGGCAACATAACTTCTGAAAGACCCAGTCCATTAACGATCTCCCCTTTCCCTCCACCTCCCACGCAAAGCCACACTCCTCCCAAATGCTGATAGCTTGAGGACAGCAAAGAAGGGCATGAGAAACATCTTCCTTCTCTTCTCCACACACACCACACACCTCATCAATATCCTTGATTCGGATATGTAGCCCCTTCTTGGTAGGAACCGCCTCATGACAAGCTCTCCAAAAGAAAACTTTAACCCTTGGCAAAACTGGCTCACTCCACATCAAATTCCAGGCCTTACGAACAGCAGCATCATTCGAACAACTGGCTTCCTCACAATCCCGATCAATAATAAGTTTATAGGCCGATTGGATCTAATGAATGCCATCTTTCTCACCATCCCAGTACAAGCAGTCAGCAGGTCTACGCTCACTCAAGGGAATAGACAAGATTCTCTCTTGTTCAAAGGGTAAGAAGAGGTCCATGATCATTGCTTTTATCTAGAGTAATACCGTTCATGTCAGCATCACGATGCTGCTACAATCCATTTAGCCCACGAATCAACAACTGTTGCTAAAGTCTTGTTCCTTAACTAGAACTACAATAAGAACACACTGCTGCTATGACATGAGAGCAAGAACAGTCCCTGAATAATTAGGCCACAAAAACATGAAAATTCCGCGACATTGTGCAGAATTTTCCCAGGATTCAGACTTTCCAACATGGTTTTTGGCATCATTAACTCAGTAAGGTTTGGTTATGGTAGATAATATACAAGGAAAATCCAAAGTTTTTAATATTAAAACACAAACAACACAAAACAATAAATTCATTAAGCTAAATAATAAAAGTGATCAGCTCATTAAAGGTTTACAATGTTTGAATACTTGAATACAGATTGTAATTATCACAATATATACAAGAATCGAAGTAAAAAATCTGCGAGAAATAAAAAAAAAAGTTATAAAACAGGACGTTTACCAAGTCTCTTGATCTCTCTATCCATTCGACCAGTAAGAATTAAACCAAACATCTTAAAATCACAAAAGAATGACCAAATTGGATGACCAAATGTTGCCGGAACATTCCTTTCTACAAAGAAATGGCTGTACCAAGCGAAGCCGTAACCGATTAATGGTACCAAAAACAAGAATTTCCAATTGAACAACATAGAGTAGATTGAGATTATAATTCCACTAAGTGTTCCCGCAAAGTGCCAACGCCTTGTTGACGGCTTAGAGTGTTGAGTCATGTAAAAGGCCCAAAAATCATCTAAGTTTCGAAAATTCATGGTCAGAATTCCACTGATTGCAGATTTGATTTCGAGAAATGAGAAAATTTGAATTGCGTTTGCTGTGAATATAGTATGAGAGATTTTGGGTTTGGTTTGTTGAGTATAATACTAAGTGCGATGCATTAATTAGGTACTTGTATGAGATTTGAGATCGAGTAGATGATTGTAAGGGATGATCAATTTTCAATCGGAGAAAAAGCTAAACTACAATCTTATACTCGTATTATGATTATGTCATGTTTAGTTCACAGTTATTTTTATTTTATTAATGAAATAAGTTCAAAGATACTTTATCATTTTATGTCATTATGTGTGTGTTTTATTCGATACAAGTTTAGGCGCATGCAATGCGTGCATGACTATCTCCTCTTTATACGTCGTAAGTAAAATTATCTTTACACTTTACTTATTTGCATAAATGGCATATATATTGACATAATTTTATTACTCTGTATTTTTTATAATTAATAAATGTAATAATCCATTTAAAGGATGAGCTATTAAAGAAAACCATGCAAAACAATCTTAGATTTTACTTTTACACGGACTTAAAATTTTATTTTATTTTTTAAGCATTACACGGCTTAAATAAATTTCATTGTATTTATGTATCATTTAAATCATACATACTTGTAAATAAGTTTACATATATTTATATCATTTAAATTATACATACTTGTTAAATATGTGCACAATATGAATATTCGTACTACTGATCAAATTATAGTATGTTGCTTTTTATACTTGAATATAAGTTGAAAAATCATATGCAAAATTACAAACATTGACTTTAAAACACCAAGTGTCAAACTTATATCATCAAATAAATATTCCCAAATTAAACTAATATACAGTCTAACATAACTACACTTGAAGGAATTATTTGATTTGAGAAAAATAATTACCATAAGAGAAGTTATCTTTCTAAATTTATGGAGCAGATAAAAATGGAAGTTTATGTCAAAAAAAAAAAAGGAAGTTATTTTTTAAGGTTAAACTTTAAATAAATTTTAATTTTCTTTAATTTTAATAAATTTCTTTAGAGAAGGTAAAATGGTCCACTCAAAATTCCCAACCAAAAACACCTCTTCTCTTTATATTACATAGACATAGATAGATTTTTTTTGTAATTAAAAAAATTATGAAAATTACATATTAATAAAATACAAAATACTCTATAGAGTAAAACTATATCAAGTTGGGTATTTTTAGATTGGTATTGTGTTTTTTTTTTTTGACACAATATTACTAATTTTAAACCCAACTTGATATAGTTTTACTCTATAGATTATCGTACACATAATATTAAAGTTTGGTCAAATCAGACAATTAGATTAGACTAGATTATATCAGATTAGATTAGAACTGACCGACAAATAAGCAAAAAGAAGGTGAATTAAACAAGCCCTAATCTAGGAATGTCATTCTTTCGTTTTCTTTTAAATGCAAAACTTTGGTTTTTCATCTTAATTTATATCTATTTTTTGTACGCCCTCTAGTCCTAAATAACTAACACGTTTGATTTTTTTAATATTCACATACTAACTTTGACCATCGTTTTAGAGTAACGCATAAAAACAACTTTTATCATGAAATATATTGTTATATAGGTTTTAATATAAACTTAATAATATGAACTTTTGTAAAACTTTTCTTACTAATATTAATCATATATATTTTAGTTCATGCATTGTCATGTATAGTGAGTAATATTTACATATTAGTTATAAAAGATATTAAAGATTAAAGTAATGTATCGATAAGCGTGTAATGAGAAGTGGTGTTGCATTTAAAATAACACAGAGGTACTCTCCAACCTTTTGAATCAATTTGTTGACCTGATGACTCAGATCAAATTATTTCAAGTCAAATACTCCCTTCACGGAGTATCTCAATCTTCTCTAATCTTGGTTTTAAAATTATTTTGATAAAGTTTTTCTTATACCTACTACTCTCTCCGTATTTTAATAAGTATTACACTATGACCTGCACATAGTTTTAGTCAATTTAATTGACTTAAATAAAATAAAAGGTAAGTGGGGTAGTTGGAGTATTAAAAAATTATAAAAGAAAAATAAGGTTAATAATTTATTAAAAAGTAATGAATGTTAGAGGAAATATATAATAAAAAAGTAGTAGTGGATTTCGGTGAAGATCCTGAGATGAGAGAGATATAATATTAAAATGTAGTTTTTTGCCAAAAAAATGAAGTGTAACACTTATTAAAACACGGCCGCGTTTAGGGTTTGTTCTGTTCACCTTATTTTCACATATCTCAAGTGTAATAAGTTCATATAAGTTCAAATAAGTTCAGATAAGTTCAGTTCAGGTTTAATAAGTTTTTATAAGGGTTACCCAAATACAAATTACAACTAAAATAAGTTTTAAGAAGGTCTAATAAGTTCAGATAAGTTAAGATAAGTTCTAATCAGTGAATAGAGCACACCCTTAGTAAGTGTAACACTTATTAAAACATGGTGAGAGTATAATCAATTTTTTAAAAAGCATGTCCAAAGGTTATGTTGTTAACAAAATAAAGCAGAGGAAGTATTATACTTCCATATAGGGGTGCTAATCGAGTTGAGCAGCTCGTGAGCAACTCGAACTCAACTCGGTCAAAGCTCGGCTCAAGTTAGTTCGACTCGACTCGAGATATTAATGAGCATGAGTTGAGCAAGATCTAACTCGACTCAATAAGATCGTGAGCAACTCGATAATATATTTTATTGATATAGAGTTTACAAACAAAGTTACCATGTTTAAACAAATTTGACACTTAATAAGAGTTAATCTATATTATCAAAAAGGAAAGTGTAAATATTTAATAATAAATAAATAAACAAAAGAAAACTATATAAAGTGAACAAAAAAAAAATAAAGGCCTATAGGGTTAAAACTTTAACGAGCAGATCGTGAGCTACTCGACTCGAAACTTTAACGAGCACGAGTCGAGCAAGTTTTATTTGCTCGAAACTTTAGCGAGCACGAGTTGAGCACGTGTAAAAAGTTTTTGAGTCGAGTTGAACACCCCTTAGCTCGTGATCGACTCGCTCGATTAGCACCCCTACTTCCATATAAGGAATGGTGCAATTAATATGTAACTTCCCAAAAAGGAAAATTGTGCAATTAACAAAAAAAAAACAGAGGAAGTATATCATAATTAAAATTTAATAGTATTAGAGTATAGGGTGTTGGGTGCACCTAAGTTTTAGTTCAAAGTGTTGAGGCAAAAAAAATAAAAAATAAAAAAAATCTAGTAAATTACAAGGCCCCTCGTTCAAATTTTGGCAGCACTTTCCTGTCACCCTAAAATTACAAGAAATCTAGTAAATTTTGACTCTTCCACTTTTCAAGTGGATGTGAAGCAATTCTTAAGGAATAATAAACTTTGAAAAATGGACAAGATGCATAAGAAATAAGAGAACAAATGGATTATAAATATACTAAGCATAGCTGCGCCCAGCTCCAATGTTAATCTCATCCACTTTTGATCCAGTGTCAGGACTTTTACTTGAACTACCATTAGATTTTAGTACCTTTTCAATCTCAGATCTAAGCATTCCATGCTTTTCAACAAGCTCAGAAGTACTTAGAGTCTCTGTGAGACTCTTCTTTATATCATTAGTCAAAACCTGAATTCTATTTTGCAGTTCTGCATCAGTATTCTTTCCAGCCTTTGCTAGCTCCAATTTCAACATATCTATTTTGTCCCTCAACTCCGATGTGTTGACAGTGTTTTGAATTTTTCCTTGTATTTCTTCATTCAGTTCTCCAATCATGCTTTTTAGGTTTAAGGGCAAACTTCCATCAACAGAAACTACAGCATTTGGTTCTGCAATCTTTAGATCCAAATCTAGGGACTTAAGAACAGTTGCAAATTCTACTTCTATCTCTTTCTTTACCTCCATGATCTTATTCTTCAGTACATGGTCAAATTCATTCGGAGTGGATGCCCCAGAATTCTTAATTTCAGACTTAAGCATTTCAACCTTCTTCTTTATATCAGGATGATTTAGGATCTCTTTAAATTTCTTGTTCACCTCCTGCTTCAACATGGTTGACCTGCTTTTACTTTCAGAGATTTTCTTGGCTTTGGATAATTCTTTCAGCATGTCAAGCTTATAACTAAGGCTTTTGTAATTAGGAGCTGCAGACAGACGTTGACTGAACTCGTCCTTAAAATTTTCAACTTTGTCCAGCTGCACTGGATGCATCTTACCCTGGGCATTTCTTGCTTTTGAAAGTTCTTCCCTCAACTTCAAAAGCTGGTTCTTCAAGCCTAAGGCTTCAGCAGCTTCAGAAAATTCATGGTCAAGCTCTTGCTTGAGCTTTTCGATCATTTCATCTACATTTGGAGTTTCAATTGACAAATCCTTGGATTTTAGGATTTGCTCCTTCAGCTTTTCAACCTCACTCTCCAGCTCCAGGGTTGAAGCCTTGCTTTGAAGTGGTTCTTCTTTCTTCTTCATGTTCACTTTTTTCTTAGGGTCAACTGGTAACCCCTCTTGAAAACCACCAATTTTCCGGAACTTCTGTGTCCTATGACGCAAGAGCTCTTCAATGTCCATTTGCACAAGCTCCTGCCAAAAGACCAACATTTGATTTTAGCATTTAAACTATTCAAAAAGTTATATACTGCTTGTCATATCCCTGTGGCCCTCATATTTGCCAAGTTTCATTGAAAAACTTGTTTACTGTTTTCTGTACAAGACATTTAAAAAACACAATATGGGTGTAACCCATTAGGGCTGTGGTTGAAATTCTCATGCCCCTAAGAATGAACTGTCACGAATACTTACATCCATTGATTCTACAATTGCCTTCTTGATTTGTTGTGATGTCCATGATGAATCGGCATGTGCACCACCAAGTGGCTCCTGCCAAGCAGCCAAGGCAGTAAACTTAAATAGGGTGCCTAACTAAAGATTTGATACCTCACGTAGCAAAGGATGCAAAACAGAAAGATAAAATAAAGGGGGGGGGGGGATACACTGAACCACCATTCCACCAACGGCATATGAACCAACTAGGGGATATTGGAAAGATACAAAGAGATTCATGTTCTGCAGTAAACAAACCACCACAAAGTGAAATGAAAAGGTATTCAGGAGAAATTCATTACAGGTATGACACCATCTGCAATCTGCAATCTGCACAGCTCATTAGCAGTTATCTTCAGCTTTTCTGCTGCCTGCATGAGACAACAAATATGTATAAGATGTCAACCATATTCTCATTTCCAT